GTTTAGGTAGTTTTCATCTGGTAGCGAGACTTTTGACGAGTACTGTAGTGCTTCATATATACACTTCTAAGAAAAATCATGTTTATTTGTTCTATAATACACTTGATTTGGCTCGTGTGGACTAACGTAGTCCTTCAAGCACCGAAGTAATCGTTTTCAGCACTATTGCCACTAACAAACAACAATAGAATTAAAATCTTTTTGTTTTGCTTAACTGCATCAGCGATTGCTTCATAAAATAATATTTTGTTTTTTGCTTTCTTTATGCGCGCCTCATATAGATCTTTATGCTGTGTTATGTAGTATACATAATTGACAAAAATCTGTATTATAGATTTAGTGTATTCTGAAAATTTCGAAATAGTTGATCAGACAAACGAAAGAAAGACATTAAAATGATCTTGAAAATCTCTAAATGAATAGGAAGAGAGAGAAGGCATGAAGCTTGTCCTGAATTTATTGCTGGAACACCGAGACAAATTAATAGTGGAAAAGTTATGCATCATCAATTACATTTTTGCATTGATACTATAGTTACCTTAACAAAAATATTTGATTTGAAAAGTCTCTGTCAAAATCATAAATCATTTAAACATCTTTGGCCTTGCTTATTTTGTTATTTCTGCCGAACAATAAAAAACATATACATGACATCCTTGTCTCATTAGCAATGGCATAGAAAAGAAACGAAGTTAAATGTTTGAAGTAGCTTCAGTTTCTTCATCGTTTCAATAATCAAACTGAGCTAGTCAAAACTTAATGCCCATGATCCATCTGTCCTTACTAATAACAAAAAGTTAAAATAGAACTTAAAATTGCCAAAAGCTAAATAATAGCACTAATTTGATGTCTCTAAGACAGCAGCTGCAAAGTTGGAACTGATATGAGGCTGAAACTTCATAATATCATTTGAAAATTCTCCAAATGACTACAAATAATTGCCGATCATTTCCTTAAATATTACTACTCGTATGCATTCTGAAGAGCCTTTATGCGATGTCGAACAATAAATTGAGGAAGCAGCCAGCAGTCTATATCAGAGACCAAAATGAATAAGATAACCTTCATTCGAATTCATTTCCGTTCAACTCACACGGCTACAGCAAAATGATATTATTATTTTCACAAATGCCAACGATTATTTATATTCCGATGTTCTTCTCTAACCAAGCTGGTGATTCTTCTATTTTCTCGTTCTAGTCATTATTTTATATATTTAATCTACTCACACATATTCAAATAATATGGAAAGCAGTTATCTTTTACAGAATAAAATTTCTCATAAAAAATTGGATGTGAATAAATTTGAGAACATATATACGAGATGCTCGTGGTGAATCAGAATATCATATACTGAGGGCGCATCTTTGAAAATAGGATGGACATAAACTGATCACTACAAACAATAGCAGAAAAATTTTGTAATAAAAGAATCACAGCGTGTTCCAGTAAAAATATATTTAAGAAGTTACAAATTAAGCAAATGGAAGGAAAATAATGTGTAGATATTATTCAACAATCTCGATATTATTAACCGTATAGTTTGTTATTTTAGATAGAAGTACGGATTTCTTTCAAAACTAAAATATCATATTATTATTAAACTTATCATTGCAAAAGATTGTTATAAGTATGTAATAAATAAACATTCATTGAAAAAGCGCTGAAACTATTGAACGAGATTTAAGTTATAGTATACATTTGCATCTTTTAACTACACATCCATCAATAATACTACTGTTTGCAACATGTAATCTATTTGAGTTGATCACTAACTTCATGCGGCATAATTGATTCAAATTAATTAGTGTACATTACGAGTTTACACCTGAAAATTCATATCTTTGTTCTCTAGTTCTATAGATTTCCTTCGACTACTTTTAATCACGAACAACTTTTACTCGATCTGCTTGTTTTGGTTTTGACAAGCTCAGCTGTTATTCAATGATTGTTCGAGTAGGATAGCGGAAACTTTCATTCGAGAAAAAAACTGACATATGATGCTTAGTATGTAATCTTACTTTTTTCAATAAAATCATCGATTATGTGTATTTTATTTGCATTTATCGTACTGTACTCGAATACATTCCAACTTCTTTTTGCATTGATCGTTTGTTTTCGTTTTTTTTCCTATTGATTCATGATACAGAGAAACGAAACCGAATAAAGGCGTCTTCATTCCATTCGATTAGACTGATTTCAATTGAATCGAACCTTCGATTTGGTTTTGATCTCTGATCTGCATGATCATCTTATTTTAATAACTTGTGTATATAGGAGAAAGTTTAAATATCAAAGAGAATACGATGTCAAGTAATCAGAATGTATAAAATAATACGGTGACTACAGAACTGATTCCATTTTACAAGCCTTGAACACATCTTTCAACAGATCTTTGCCTTGGACGCATGCCTTACTTTTGTTAAAAAACAAACTGACTCTATATTCAAAGAAAAATAATCTGGAGCGTACAAATGAAAACAATTGCAAAAATAAATATTTTTTTTATTCAGACTTATAATTTTGGACAGATGAGAGTAGCATTGACAATCATAAAAAAAGGGATAGAAGATCGCAAATTGGTTGAAAAACGAATCACATGATTAATGAGTAGCTGCAAAACGAAGAAAATCAAAAGGATCATTGGAGTTTTTCAATCAGAAATAATTCAATCCTAATGTAATCCTTGTCCACGTGTGATGAAAATGGTTCAAGATCGTGGTAAAATCGTATCTTAAACACTGTCACAATCATGAATATTTCTAAATGACATGTTTTTAACTAAATTTTGTATAGGATCATCTGCATAAATTAGGAAATTTTATTTCACTGAATAAAAATATAACGAAAGCAAACACTACGATCAACAAATAACTTCTATTATCTACGAAGTAACTTTCATCTAAATTGTATTTTGACAGCTCGAGAAACGAATCGAATAGTGGATATTCGCTTTGTCAGTAAAAAAATATCCTACTTTTTCAAAGCCGCCAAACTTTACATTTCACCGGTTAAGGAAAAGTTTGAAAAGTACATGAAATCGGCATAAGACTATGAGGAATCTCTTCACTCATATGTGAAACGCTTTTTGTCAGATTCTTTTTCTTACTTAAATTCATGCTGCTGAATTTTTGGGCCACGGAGGCTGTAGCCGAAGCACTTGCTGTTGACAATCCTGTCGACTCTTGTTCATCATCATCTGATATTTCTTTCAAATGAATAATATGTAAGCCGCCATGATGATGTAATGGATTTGCCACAACTTCAAATGTGGTACCCGGCATTAGAATAACTTCATCTTCGGCTGGATAACATGTGTACGCTGCAATGGATTTTCCATTGATACAATCAATATTGAAAAGCGTACTTTGCGGAGCATTGCCAAGAAATGAGGAAATGACGTCAACTGATGTTGAGCATGAGCTCACACTCCACCAAGTTATTTTTTGACCTTTCTTGAACGTGTGACTAACATTCTTATTTACTCCTCGCCAAACAGTACCTTTAAATTTAGGTAATTTAGCAGCCGCAGAATCTAATAGTTTTAAATAGGGGAACCATGGACGAACTGTAGATCGATCCTCGGCACGGAGTGTTTGATTTAAAAGACGATAAGCAGTAGTTTCGTCCGACATTTCCATGGTGTACAAATAAAGTGCAGCAGCTTCATCTTTGCTTAAATCATGGTCATTAGGGAATGTGCAGTGTTTCTTTGCCATTTTTACGAATCGATTTATTTCTGGTAGCAGATGACGTACATCGCCCATAGCTTCTTCAAGCGGTACTAACTTGCAAGTAAAGTAACCGTAGCAAGCCGGTAAACGTTGGTCTCCCAACTCCACGTCAGTAAAGCGTTGTCCAGTGCTGCTCATTTTAGTGAACCAGCGATGGCATTTGTCGTTTTTCTGATCGAACGACTCACTTCCTTAAAAAAAACATGAAGAAATGAATAAAAACGATTTCATCATATGTGTCTGCCGGGATTTCTATCTCAATATACCAGGTTTATATTATCATTGTATCTCCAACATTGTATTCTTCGACATTGACGATCAATGGTATCTCATTTTCATTTTTCATAATTTTTTGAAGCATTCGTTTCATCCTTAGCTATATTCATTCGTTCTGAATAAATTTTCTACACTGCTGTCACTTGATCTTACAGTTTTGTAGTATAGATAAATTGTTAGCTACTCTCTTTGTCTTCAACCTTTCAACCGGCAATAATAAGGGATCGATGTGAAAGTTCATCTCAGAATTGTGCTCGATAATGAAAAACTGCCGATCTGTCACGATCCAACAGAGGATTTTCCAGCGATTGTTCAAGATCATCTTACATCTTTATTCCGACAAATTGCAAAAAATTGTTTTCTGGTGAAACTCGATCAAGTTTTAATGATGTTGAAGGCTTTTTTCGTGATCGTAGACAGATTACATTATTCTATTCATCTGATGCATTTTTAGCGCTTCCTGGAAGTTTGATTAAGTACTAGCATATTAGATATAGAGATAGATAGATATAGGAGATATAAAGATATAGAGATATAGGATATACCCAGATATAGGAGATATAGAGATAGATAGATATAGGAGATATAAAGATATAGAGATATAGGATATACCCAGATATAGGAGATATAGAGATATAAGAAGCCATTTATTAAGAACATTGGGGAAAGAAAAAACATTTTTTGGGGGAAAAAACAGTTTTTGAGAAAAAAAGTGTCGAAATCAATTCCTGAGGAGGGTCTTGCCCCCTTTTTTGCGGCAACAATTTTTCAAAATTGCGTTGTGTTATATATCATTCAATGCAGTATGGCGTGCTGATTTCAAATAAACCATTTTTGTCGATCATGGATTTTTCCAAAATCAGAAAAACTGAAAAATGCGTAAATCACCTAGATTTTCTGGAAGTCTGCTGTGGAGTCCAGGAATGGTTGAACCAATTTTCGATAACAGGTGTTAGAGACAGTGGCTTGGTGAACATTTTGTCGGAATTGGGAAAACCTTTGGAGGTAGCCTTCCTATGTGGGTCAATTGCTCATTTTACGGGACTAGCCATTGGGACAACGCTACAGAAAAACTAAGGAGTGAGAGTGGGTGTGAATGTGGATATGGGTGCGGTTATGCGTGTGGGTGTGGGTGTGGGTGTCTGTGTGGATGTGAGTATCGGTGTGGGTATGATTATGAAAAGAACAACACCGATTTTCACATCCACACCCACACTCCACACCCGCATCCACACCCTAGATGTACAGGAGATATAGAGATGTAGGAGATACATGAAACACACAAGCTATTCGCAATATTAAAAACATACGACAAAAAACAGTTACGCAAAAAGAAATCTCGGGTGTATGACACTTGTACACCGACAATAAAGTTTTAAAACCCGGCTCTCAATTCGTATTATATACTGTCCCCAACGTTTGGCAAAGATTCTTTCTAGAAACATTAACACAATTTCTACATTTTCTGACAACTATTTCAAATTTTCCAATCAACACGCACATCGATCATTTCATATGTTAAACAACCTTTCGCAGAGACGACGCTCAATCGCTGTGTTTTCCCCTCATGTTTTGAGACACCGTTTCACCAGTGACACATATTAACACATGAAACCATCTCCTTCGAACTCTCATGCACAACGTTATGTAAAATCCGTTCACTTCTGACGCATAAGCGTCCACCGACAAATACTTACCATTTCGCAGACTACTAATTGCAAATCCTAATTTATGCGACAAACTCGAAGAGTATCCGATCAAATTAAAGACAAGCATGTCCTAAATCCGAAAGAAAACGAACACTTTAATCTACTACGCAAAGCGGAGAAAAACTAATGCCATTCCAGCAACCAATAGAGCTCGTGAAAACACACACCTATTTTTTGTTTATACTGAGCCCGAACAACCGCAACACACTATGTGACACTGGTCGATGTTGAACGCCGTTCACTATGCCACAACTATACACCATGAAACTGTGTGCGTCTCATCATCTGTCAACTCTTTTTACAAGCGAGGAAAGACAAGCATGCACTTTGTGCCTACTAATGTCTCAATAGAAAACTTCTCGGCGAACACTTTACGCGGCATGCAGAAAGCGTGAGTGTTTGTGTGTGCGAATTCTCGGATTGACCGGCAGTTTCTCAGCACTCACACTCGGTATGCTGCAGTGCATATCTTTCTGTGCGTCAATCGTCGCATGGACCTATCCTTACGCGGCACCCTCACAACGTACGATGCGGCATATGCCTGTTTATGTGTGTGAGTAGTGTATGGGCCGATACTTTCGCGATACCCACACTCGGTGCGATGCGGTGCGTCTTTTTTGGTGTGTCAGGGTGGCCTGTGCCAGTTCTCACACAAAAACCACATTAGGTACGATGTGGCATGCGGATGTTTCTGTGAGTAGGGGTGAGAAGTTATTGTTATTCGACTGTTATTAATAACAATAAGTTTTTTGTTATTTGTTATTAATAACAATAAGTTTTTTGTTATTTGTTATTAATAACAAAAAAATAATAAATAACTTTTCTTCTTGAAAAACTTTCAACTCGAATCGCTGCCTATCTCAACTATATTAATTCTATATAATGTTCAGTGTCTGTCTCTCTATGTCAGATCAAAGGTCAGCTGAGACTATAAGGACTATTATATATGAGGATACCCATAGGTCCTCAAGAGCTATTATATGGAGGTATCCATACGTCCCCAAGGGCCATTATATGGAGGTATCCATAGGTCCTCAAGGGCTATTATATGGAGGTACCCATAGGTCCTCAAGAGCTATTATGGGTGTGGGTGTGGGTGTGAGGTGTGGCTTTAAGTGTTCTTCTCTTTACCCACACCCACACCCTCACACCCACACTCGCACCCACCCACCCACACCCAAAGCGAAGTCTCCACTGTGTACCCCTCGGTCTAGGTCTTCGCTCTCACAGACTTGCTTCCGCGCTCAACTTTTCGCCACTACTAGAAGACAAAGATCGGCTTTCTGGAACTTTACTCTTCTCCTCCTCAGATAGTTTATCTGTAAACTGAAAGTTTTCACCGTCACCTAAAGGCATTTGGCTGTACTGTGAACCTTTTCTAAGATATCCGACATAATAATAGATTGCTAAAGATTTCTCTGTCGTTCTTAGTCATTGCTGATGATCGGAAACCTTTCGCCATCATTCATAGACATTCCTTCAAAGGGTGTGGGTGTTGCATGTTGGTTTGTAGGAGGATCTAGGGATAGGTGTTTGAGTGCGACAATGCTCGTGTAGAGTATAGTAAGTGTGGCTTTTTGATGTTGGAGTGCGTGGATCGAAGTAAGTTGGTGTGGGTGAGCGCTTTTCTACGCGCCTATGCTCACATGACATCCAAAATTGCTCGTTTAAAGCTTTTTGCTTTTATTCTCACCCACTCCTGTGAGATCGGAAGGTGTCTCCTGTCATCCAGAGAGATGAGTCAGTACTCTGAAGCTTTACTGAGCCGTTGACGCCTTCATCCATTATCCGAAAAATTTCGTCATCGCTCATAAATTTTTTTCTTTATGAAAAAGCTCTCATTCCCACTTGCAAACATTTATCAAACGATAAAGGCTTTCGAAGCTGCGTGCACCCATGGCAGCGATTGGAAGCTTTTTTCTCTTTCTCTTGCAAATTGCCCTGTACCCTAAACTTTGTAGTAGTTGCTCAGAGACGTTGGTTGATAGTCTGAGGCTTTCTATGGCGATATCAAGACAAGGCTGATTTCTAACGCTCTTTTATTTTCCTCTCCTCAATGCCTGTAAGCTCGAAAACTATTCTCTGTCTTCGAGAGATATAAGTCATTACCATGCAGCTTTTCTCAAGCACGTGACACATTAACTGGTTCCCTGAAATTTTTGCACTCTCTCTAAAACATTCCTGTGTGTTGAAACAGCTTTTTCACTCACTCATAGACATTCCACGAATGCTGGAAGTTTTTCTATTACGTATAGAGCAAGTAGGCTTGTTAATCTATATGCTGTTGCTCTCAGGAACTTTTTTGTGATGCGAAAAACTTTCTCCGTCACGCAACGGCATTGCTGCGTAGAATGAACATTATCGCAGCTAATCTGACACCTTTGTTGGTTCCTCGAATTTTGTTCACTGTTGTACTCACACATTAATCTGTTACTCAAAGGTTTTCGCTGGCACTCCATAGGATTGATTGATTCTCTAAATCTTTCTGCTGCTCCTCACGCGAATTTCTCTGCGGTCTGAAAGTCTTCTCTGTAACCCTAAGAGATTGATCGATATGCGGAAGATCTTTACTAGTATCTTGAGGCATGACTAGCTTTTGAAGCTTTTTGCTCTTCCTTTTAGGACTTCTTCTGTGATCGTCAAATTTTCGACTCCATTCCAAGGCATCCCTTGGAGCCTGAACCTTTTTGCTAGTACTTTCATATGCCAGGGTTCTCAAGCTTTTTGATCTTCCTCTCAACAATTTCTCTGCAATTTGAAGGTTTTTGCTGTCACCGAAAATCATTCAATGGGCATGCTGAAGATTTTCTCGGCTAATTAGACACCTTGACCGGTCCTCTTGACCTTTTTTTGGCTTGTTGTCTCACGTACTTCACTGTGGTGCAAGAGTTGCCGCCATCACGACAATACTTTCTT